TCCGTAAATATATATCTGTGACAGTTAATATTTTGGCTTTCATCACTACCGTATTTATGTATATTAACATAATCGAAAATTTGAGCTTGGGAAGTTTCCGAAATTTAGTTGATTTGACACAGAATGACTCCATATTATGATTTTGGTTTATTTTGATTAATCATGCAGCCATAATTAAGCAACACTGATCATTACTGGACCCATCCCTGAATATGCAAAGCAGTCTGATCTGCATCTTACTGTATGTGTTGGGATGATCGTTCTCTCCGGGCTTCAAGTCCTCCATCCAAACAGCCAGAACAGTAGAGTCACTGTTCCACAGCAGTTCCTTTACCTGAGAAAAACACACAAATCATCAGCTTTTCATGCACCATGACTTGTATTTCAGATCTTTGAAAATAACATATACAGAGGAGATGAGATCTACCTTGACCTGTTCCTTTCCAAAAGGCAGAGTAAAATCTCCATGCAACAGTCCGTTCTTTTCCATAAACACCACACTGTGTTTGTTAGGGTGCCGCTGTGTGGAAGTGATCAGGCTGCCGGAGGGTCTAGGAGAAAAATCCATTTTTGTCAGTTCACATCAGATCAGTCAGACTCAACATGAAGTCAAAAGAAAAAAGTAAAAAGACATTCAGAATATCTTACTTCCAGCAGAGAGGCTGTCCCAGACCGTTAACAACCTCGCTGGTGGCCTGCAGAACACATTCTCGGTTCCAGATTCGAACCTTTCGAGCACCTGAAACAAAAAGCTGCAATATTTTACATTCACATTAATGCATCTGGCAGACACTTTTATGCAAAGTAACTTTCAAGATACACACTTTATCAGTTCATGCATTCTTTGGCAACCAAACACATGACCTTGGTGTTGTTAGGCCCATGTTCTGCTGTTTAAGCTACAGTAATAATGAACAATATTAACTGTCACAACTTTTCATGTAATAACAATAGCAGAAAGTGAGAGTCTCACCAGTCTGAGGACAAACAACGCTGACAGCAAAGAATTGCCCATCGCCACGCCATGTGATTCTTGGCTTCCTGTCGTCCCATGGCAGAGCAGGCTGCACTTCCTGTGAAAGTGTATTAGAACTAGGTGAGAAAAAGACCATATTCAAACCAGGTTGAAATGACAATGATCTCCTGATGATCCTCAGGTCAGTATCATACTTCCTAGCTGCAGCGAGTTGATTTGGTAAAGCAGAACGATGCTGAACAGAACAAAAACTTACTGCGGCTTTCCGCTGGGCGGCCTGCTTGCCCTCAGAGCCATGAAACTGAGTCTCCTTCTTCCCCCAACCAACTGTGATGAACTTATCTAATGCACAGAAAGAAAAAAAAAATCACCCATCAGACACAATATCTGCTCATATGCAGAGAACACAAGTCACCTAAATAAAAGCATGATATTAAGAGCAAAATGAAGACTTTTATGAATTATACCTTCGCCAAAGTCATCCTGATTGATCTCAACCTCAGTTATTGGCTCAAAGTCCTTGGTCATCATGATAATGGTCTCCTGACCTGACATGCAACATACGACACAAACAAACACAATGAGAAAGAGTGACATGGCACTATTATGCACTTCTAAACAGATATATGCTGAGTGGCAGGGTTATTATAGTTAACTTAACCTAAAGCCATAAAAAAAAAACAATTCTGTTACTTGAAACAATATAAATGTTAACTTAAAATAAAACATATTTTATTTTAGCTAGTAACTTTTAATTTAGCAACATTTCTCTTTTTTATTTAGTTTAACTTAATGCCCTAAAAATTACAAATTATAAGTAATACTATACACACACACACAAAAAACTGACAAAAACACAAACTTAAAATTAAAATTGAAAATATATAAATAAAAATGAAATCAAAATATTAAAAAGAAAACTACAATAACATCTCAAGGATAGTAAAATAACACTGCTAGTGATATAGACCTGTGGTCAGAGTCACCAACTCTTGATCTGGGCTCCACGTCATGCCAGTTAGACCGCTTTCCACGCTGCCAACGCATTCTAACTGTGAGAGAGAACTTGAAACTGTTCATTAGAAAGTACAACAAGAGCATACATATTTAACAGAATAATTTAGCAATCATTTTATACAATCATCAAAGCATTTAGAACAAATGAATGATCACCTGACTGGTGCTGAGGTTGTAGAGAATGACATCACCACTGCCAGTGGCCACACACACTGACTCCTGATCTGGCAGATCTTGTATCGCCACCACAACCCCACTGCCGTCCTCTGGGAGATAGTCCTCTGCCGTCAGTGAAACCTCTTTATGAACCTATAGAAGCACATTATACAGCTAAATTAATGTATATCTATTTGGTATTAGACATCCTAAACCAGAAACAATCCCCCTGGAACAAAATGGGGTTACAACAACTATCATAAATCACCCTTTCTGGGATTTCAACTTCTATGAAAACTTTTTTGTTTTTTATTCTAAAAATACCTCTTCGGTCCGAGGGTCAAACTCTGTGATGGCAAGCTCAGAAGCCACCAGCACGGTTCCAGTCTCGCTCCTGATGGTGAAACACTGTGGAGACCCCGGGAAGGAAAGATCCACACACTTGAAGCGCTGCAGCAGACTGAGGTTTCTCATTTTGGGTAGATGCTTTCAACAAGATGAGATCTGAAACAGTTTTGCAGTTTTTGTTAGATTGATCTGATTTCAATCACTAAAATAAGACAAGGCAGGTGGGAAAGACATCCTGTCAACTTCAACTGCACGACATGCATCCTGGGATGCTTTTTAAACAACTATGCATGATAGACATTGATTGGTTGCTTTCCCTGAAAATAAATGTATACGTCAAAAAGTTTAATAGATTATCAGCAATAAATGTAGTCAAGTGTGTCCGAAGTGATTTCCATATTGATGTATCATGGTATTTACATGATGGTACTAAAAAGTAATACCAAAACTACCATGTTACATGTCCACAACACACGACATTACCATGGTACTAAAACATGGAATTTTACGTTAGCGAGACATTTATAACAACATCACAATACTAATACAACGACATCAAAATTAATTAAATGTAACGTTATCTAACTCTTAATTAATAAACGAATAATTCTTATGATTACAAAATGGAAAGGAAACTGGCACAAATCAAGACAGCGTATGTTTGAAAGATGTACGCAGCAAATCTAGTTGTATTTATATAAAGACACAACCATCAGCAATACTTACCTCGTCTTTTTGACCTTTTTATATGAGGTAAATTATCATTTGCGGCATACACATTCACAACACACACACGTTGTTGTCAGTGCAGCCTGAACTCTGAAATCGAAGAAAAAATGGCAGTCTGTGGTGATGCGCGCAAGTGCGCACTCTGTCGTCTTGGAGGAACAGCGGGGACGTCAGGTTCATTTTTGTGAATCGGTTCTTTTGAACTGGTCTTTTTAAAGAACCGGTTGAAAAAGCAAGCCCGCGGTTCAAGCTTCAAAAGTTTCAGGTTCCAAAAACCTTAGTAAAGTTATGTGTTCACATATATTTGTTTTTCATGTTTTTTTTTTCTCGATTAAATCCCATTAAGTGTGAGTTGATAAAATTTCGAACATTAGAAGGTTCTTTTGCCAAAAGAACCAAACGAATCACTGCGAGTCGGACATGCTCGACAGAAATGGTTCTCGGTTCAATGAGTTGGTCAGTTGTAGCAAAGACGTTGGTTGTAGTCTGTACTTATTTTGTTTTCGATACGATACCGATATTTTTCAAGGCAGTATCGTCGATATCGATACCGATTCGATACTTCTGAACTAAACTTTTAAATTATGAAATGTATTAAATTATTAAATTACTAAGAGTAAAATGGGTAATGATAAGCACTTAACTTTATGTTTAAAACACATTTTAACATCCAATACTCCTTAATTGTCACTTATTAGGTTATATTTTTGTTTACACATGGTTCAAATACGTTTTTTGTTTACACATGATTCAAATCTATAAATATTACAGTTGAACTATGGTCACTTTAGTAAAACCATGGTTCATTTTCATAAGGGACTGCCAGTGACCGGCTGTTGCATGCATAAAATGCAACCTTTTTATTCTGACAGTGTATGATTTCTATTAACATTACAGAATAGAACATGATCAATATTATCTTTCAACGTTCAATTTAAATAACTGTAATTGCACAAACTATGTAGGCTACAATTTCAGTTTGTTTATTGTGAAATAACTCTGTCCTTCTGTCCTCTGATAGGCATTGTTCAGGGCTGCCGTTCCCAAAAGCTTTAGTGCTTTCTTATGATACTTTTGGGAAACGCAGCCCTGTTTGAATGCACTGTCAGAAGTGAGTGAACGCTCTCTGTGATGGATTGGTTCTGTCTTGCAACATTTGTGTGTCCAGATGAGCAGGAAAATAGTTCTATCCTACACAATTACTCGCTAACAAAGGTTATTCGTTCAATTCAATGCATATTGTACGAATTTTTTTTGTTGTTAAATTAACAAAATCACTGGTAAATAAAACACACCTTAGTATTGATATTTTTTGTTTGAGTATCGATACTTTCGATACTCGCGGAAGTATCGATATATCGATACTTTGGATCGATACGCCCATCCCTACTGTACTCTGTAGTCAGTCTGTACTGAGTTCAGCTTGATTTACGACTATACTGTAGTTGGGTAACGATGCTTGGACCAATTCAGTCAACAATTCTTACAAAGCACGAATTGTTCAGTCCGATCCAGCGCATTCGGACCGGTTTTGCGAACTGGTTTAAATGATTCATTGAAAAGATCTGACCCAAATGATTCGTTCACGAGTCAGACGTCAAAATTACGTTATTTCATGTACAAAACACACGATTTCGTTTAGTGTTCAAACGGCCCGTCTCCAGTATCATTTAAATACGTTGAGTCAAATAGTTTTGACTTTTAAAAACAGTTTCTGAAATTCGACAGATACTTGGTATGTGTATACTTGTTTGAAACGAGCAGTGCTTCAAAACAGTGTTTGAAGGCGATGATATTCATGACACGCTTCCCTAAAGACGTACGCAACACTATTACATATTCGGTTGCACCAGCTGGACGTACACCCGGTTGTAAGACTAGAATGGACGTAAAATGCGCTTTAATTCGTGCGTAGAGTTTATACCCGTTGCATCATCTCGGCGTAGCGCTACGTCTGACACTAAATCTTACGCCTAGTCAGAGGTAGGTGTAAAGTGAAAAGTCATGATTTGCTCGGACATTATTCGTTTTTAGGATTCATGTCTGTTAGTTCATTATTACTGCAGACGTGACCTGTAATGTTTATGGTCTTTTCGGGCAGGATAAGCGATATCAATCCCAAAGCTCTGTGTAGACTATCCTACCACACTGTCGACATTGAATACAAAATATATTTCTGTCAAGCATGTAATAATTATGCAGTAAAATATTACATATGAACTGGGATTATTAAAAGAAACTGAACCATTTGACATCTTGCTTGGAAGGACAGTGTGCTTGAAAATATTTCACGTCTTTAATTCAATTCATTATTTGTAGCGTGCCTGCCATCCAATAATCGCAATAAGTTTTGTGCTTTGTTACTTTTAATCAGAAATACATGATCATCTTTCAAATTCTGTGAATTTTATCACAAAATACAAACCATACACGTGTTTTTTCAGCCACAGAAAGACAGCAAAACACAAAATGTCACGTAAAGTCACAATTACCTCAGGAAAGACATTCATTGTACATAAACTTGATAGTCAGCTATAAAAAAATAACT